TAATTACACAGGCATAGCAATAACATTCAGACAATAGAATGGTGTCATTAATCAAACACTATAGCTAAGAGGCCCAAGTGTGCGGAGATGCAGGCAATCATCAACAACATTCCCGTGGGGCGAGCATTGTGCTTGAGCAGCCTCATTTAAAAACTGGGTACACTGGTGCACTGGCAGAAGCATCATGCACAGCATTGCTCCCACATTTTACTGAGTCATTTAAACTAACATGCAGACAGACAGGCAGTACAGCTGCGTTATTAACCTTTATTTATCCAGGAAAGCTGACTGAGCATGCCCACTCTTTAAGATACTTAAGACTGCGGTTCTGACAGTGAGCTGCCACAAACACTGCAATGATTTCTCACTTTTTCACAGATGTCCTTATGCACACAAAGACAAGCTCACAGAGGAAAACTAATCCCCACCTCTAGTCCTAGATTAGTGCTGCTGAGCCTAGCCAGCAGCAGACTGTGAATGATGGTGACATTTTTATAGTGATAAGACCTCAATATTCCAGGAGTCACAAATGACAAATGAACCTTTAGTGTCTAAGAAAGATGAGCAGTGAGCACTCCCTTACCAAGAATTTCATCAAAGATTTTGTACAGTCCAGGAACGTAGGAGATGTCCCTCTGGTTCATGCCTACATCCTCATCAAAAACCCACATTTGCTGAAAAGGCAAAAACACAAACATTTAGTGGACAGCACCGCAAACATAACGTTCTGCTGTTAACACGAGACCAAAGGGGTAAGTTTAAGCCAATGAGCAGACTCCTTTGCTAATAAGCTGACATGTGGCTAGCAGTGCACATTTTTAAGTAATAAGTAACAAACAACTTTAAATAGGGCCGTAAGTAACAATTATTAAAGGATTATTAAAGGATTGATTAGGCTTGGTTCCCAGTCCGCGAGCTCTTTGCACTTTCACAGAAATCCTGCACATGCACAGCTGACTCTTGCTAATTCACACAGTATAAAAAGCATAGCTATGGTTGTCTGGAACGTTTGGGACAACTTTTGTAACAAGTATGCAGGTCTGGTGTTTTGTAATAAAGAGACACGTCACTCAGTGTAGCAGTGTTTACCTTTTGAAAAAGCACAGATGAATAAACTAATCCAGACTGATAACTGACATACATTAACTACACACGGAGGCAATTCATTGTTGGTTTTACTCTCTGTATGGGGATTGTCGAAAACAGTTAATATAGAAAATGACAGGTCTTGTCCTTTAAGCAAAATAAATAAATAACTTTTTTTTATTATTATGAACCACAAGGCACACATAGGAAGTTCATGAACTAGCAGTTATTGGCAGCATGAGCATCTCACACCTTCCCCCAGCAAATGCAATAAATCGCAATTTTTTTAAATATCAACAGCATCTAAATCAAAACCGTAATAGCAATCTAATGTGGTTCCTTCACAGTTAACAGACTGACACATCAGCTCTGTCTTTAAATAAAGAATTATTATAAAGGAAAAATTCCTGAACAATTAAAATATTTAGTGCAGAAGTAAATCTAAAACCCTTTGTAATGCTTTTAAACTTTTTAAAGATATAAGTCAAGGAAGAAATTGTGTAACAGTACTGGATGACATAAAGGTTATGTCAGCCCATCGTGTGAATCCATCTGTAAAAGACAGCATTTTGTTTTTCGCAAATGTTATGGAGAACATCAGTGTTATATTTATCCACACATGACAAGACAGTTACAAAGAGAGCTGCAATGCTCACAGTGTATTCAAATGGACAATGCAGGAAGTTACATATTGCACCAGTGGTTGTTTACATTCTGCTACGCTGTCTTATCTTGAGCTCTCCTCGTCAGCGTGGAGGGAGAGCACATCTCTTATCTCGGCATCAAACCACTACCCAAATGTTTTCACAAAATCTGTGGATTTGAAATGATCTGTGTGAACACAGTGCATCTCCTTGGCCACTGACTTCACTGTGATTTCATGACTGCCTATATGCAAAAACATATTTATGAATGGTTGAATATTTTGCTTCTGTTATAACTTGCAAGATGGCCAAAACATCTACAGATTGTTAGGCTCCAGGATGTGCCTTTAGAAAAGCAACAAAACAGATCTTTAGTTTGTCACACCTACAAGTCCTCACAGCAGTGTGCTGAGCCCGACTTCAACATTGGCAAGGAGAGAGTGGGACACACAAACCAGCATCAGTAACAATCGCTTCATTACATGCCAGACTGAATTACAGATATTTGATTTAGTGTTTCGTTTCAGGTTTTCCAGTTGTGGAAAAATCAGAACAATGTCTCCTAGTACAAGTCAGCTTTATCTGAAAGTCCTAAAAGTTACCTCTACTGCTCCACAACTAGCCTAGTAAAACACATTTCTTCTCCCATGTTTGGAATGTAAATTTGTTAGTCTGTCATTCAGCCTACAACTGGATATGTAATTTCTGAACATAGTCAATCAAACATGAGTTAAATGTGTCTGTTTTTAACGTGCCAGCAGAAAGTTTCCCGACAGTAGTGGTAACACTGTAATTGCCAACCAGGTTTATGTGACTACTTTTGTTCACACCTGGGCCATGAAGACAATTTTACAAAAATATTACCATGTCCTCAGCCTGAAAGGCTGCCAGAGCAACATCTACAGAGAAATAGCCAGAATTGTAACATTATGCCAGTGTGTTAAATCAGCAGTGTTTATGAATGACAGTGCGCATCTGAGAAGACCTGGCCAGTCTATCCCTCAAGACAATGACAAAAAGGCAGAGTCCTCAGCACTCACCTGGGTGACGGGCTCCACAGAACCAATGTATGTGTCTGGACGGAGAAGGATGTGCTCCAGTTGGGTCTTTTTCTGATACACTCGCTCCACAGACATCTTAGAGCCTGCTTTATCTTTCTTGGCTCCTTCCATCTTGCCTGTGTCGCTTCTGCCATTTGTAGCCTCCTGTTTGGCAGAATATTTGTGGTTATTAGTAGATGCATAGCAATGTTTCAACCTCCAGCCCTGTGAGAAAATGACTGTGATGTGCTGTTGACAGCAGATTATCAATGCTAACCACCATAGGGAGAATGCTGCTCTGTGCCTTTGTGATTTTGGTGACAGATGGTTAACAGAAGCAAAACAATAGCCATTATGCTTTAAGTGGAAAGCTGGGATGTATCAGGGTTTGCAAGTTATTTAATGAGAATAAGCAATAATAAAATGGATAGATCTGAAATTTTTAATACAAAACAACTTTTGCTTTATGGAATGTACACAAAACTGTAAAAATCTGAACAACAACAACAACAACAACAACAAAAAAAGGCAGTTTAGTCATTAGCCGGAGTAAAAACAAGCAACCTGCCAAATTCTCTTCAAGAAGAGACCCTTTGACAACATGAACCCAATATCTGCAGACCGCTCTCTTATGGCTTACTGCACAAGGGATAAAACATACAGGCCTGCAAAGCAGATTCATTCTAATTATTAGTGATATTTTAACAAACATGCTATGGGATACTTAACATGTTTCCAAAAGTAAATGAACTTTTTCTTTTCACCCCAGTCAGGTAACATTTGCAAATTCCAAAACCTATGCTAAGGTTCCCCTGATAAGTTTTTTAAATTTAAAATTCACTCAGAACTTAAAGTGAACAGGGTCCGACTCTGGGGATGCCATTGCGTGAAAGGGCGTGGGTGGGGGGTGCCAGGGACATCTGGGTCACCACGGTTGTATGAGGAGCAAACCCTACGCCCCTTCTTGGCAGTAAAATACATCTGCCACAGCATAGATCAAGACTTGGGTGTCACGTTTAAACACACCGAACGTTCACCCCCACTGGTTAAGCCAGTGCTTTTAAAAACACTGGGAATAATAACAAAGATTCTAGTTAGTTAAACGAGATAGGTTCTTCTGTCCATGGATGCTTAAGCTGTACTGAATTATCTTTGTGTCGACGTCCGCTAACTAGACAAGATAACATGAACAACTGCGGCTTGTTGCTTATCTTCTTTAAAAATAAAAAACAGGGGACCTGGTCAGAATTTAACTCAACCACAGCTGGCTGGTCGTTGATGCGCCTATCAGTCGGCAGGAGAACAGACACTGTGGACTCGCTAGGAGATTTAAATGCTAGTTAGCTAAAGCGTGTAGCGACCCATTGCATTGTGCTAAGGTGAACATAACACTTTGCAGAATTGTAAAAGCGCTATTTAGACTGCAGAAGTACACGGTAGTTGGACAGTAGTAAGGCAAAGTAACTTACCATCCAAGCCAGACCCCCGCTTCCTGCCGCACCGTTGGACATCTTCCTTTGTGATCTTAATATTTCTGTGATGTAGCTCGCAAAATGTCTTCAGTTCAAGTGAAATCCGTTCAAGTGAGATCCGTCAGCATAACAAATGCCTCAATTGCTTTAAAATACCCAAATCTGTGTATCTCCCATGTTTTCTTCGTTTGCTTGAAAGATAATCCTTCAAATGTATCAAAACTTGCAGAGGACGGGAGTGTTTCGAGGCTATTGTTAAAATCGACAAGCGGCGGCGCAGTAGGCCTAAACTTCCAACAAAGATGCTAACCGGGCTTCTTGCTTCAAAATAAATAAGGTGCAAAACGCAGACATTAAATAGGTTTACAATTTCATGTGAACATGTAACGGAATTAAATAGGAGTTTAACTGAACTTATCAGAAAGCGACAGACTTACTTTTCATTTACGTTAGAAATAAAAACGAATATTAGTTAGCAGCAGCACCCCTGGCCGACTCCGCCATCTGCAAGATAGACGGCGAATCAGCTCACGGATAACCCGACCAATCAGGTGGCTACTTTTCGCAGCCAATAGAATTCACCCTTTAGTTCACCGTGCATGTGTACATACACATAAACGCACACCATGCCATAGCTTTATGCTTGTCTCGACTTCCAGGCTGTAAGAAACAGCTTTATTATACCACCATATATTTTTCTAACAATCAGTATTTCCATCACACCCATACTACATTTGTTTCATTTATAATTATACACAAGCATGTAACTGGAGATGGTAAGGTGTAAAATTACAGTAACCCAGTACCTATTAAATAAAACTCTCAACAATAGTTTGTTTATTACTAGCAGGAGAACTGGAGAAACCTAAGCTGATAAGGGGATCAACCCTGGTTTGTTTTGTGAAATATCTCTATACATCACATATTACAGACACATTCCCAGTAAAGGCATACAGTATGTTTCAAAAACCTATGGCTTTACAGTTAAAACTCTTTACAGGTATACTGTAGACAGTCTCGTGGGTTATTTGGCCATTAGTCAACTCGAAGTGAGACAGATGACAACATCTGTACTTTGTGAGAGGTATGAAACTCATGTTGTCATTCATCTATCATTAGAAGATTACTCATCCTGGAGGATGGACACATATTTAAAGAGTGCAATCCAAACTATCCTCCAAACATTTACCACTGAACTTTTCAGTCAGCCAAGAGTAAAAAGGTATTAAGGGTCCAATTCTGTCGAGAGAAAACAACTGTTAAGCATCTTCTATGTGGATAAGAATTTCAAATGAAGACTCCTCTGTCTCCTTCAAGCTCTGTCTGAACAGCTGAGAGTGCTGCCAAGATGTCTCTCCTTCTCCACCACTGAGTTCTGCTACAAGGACAAAGTCTGAAGAGCCAGACAGACATGAAAACAACTGCATCTTCCCATCTAAATGTTCAAACACAGGAGAGGAAATCAATAGGTAGGATCATGTCACACAGGCACATTTTGAGTACTTTATCAGAGTATCTACTACATAACTGTACCTCCAGAGAATTCTGTAGTATTCTGGCCTGACTGCAACTGCCAGGAGACTTTCCCCGAGTGGAATGTCTGACTGCTGGCCATGATCGAGACAGATTTTATCTTCATTCCCACTGGGGCAAAATCAAACTTCCAGCTGATTATTCCTGTAGCGGAGCCTTCTGTTCGAGCTATGTACACCTAAAAAAAGAAATACAATCAAGTTAAAAAGCCTATAGTACAACTGTATGTAGTTTTAACATTCACTGACCATTCTACTTTTTTCATGTTAAGAGATATATCCAATCTGTTTTTAACTTTAGTCATATTTTAAATACATTCAATCTAAGTTTATCAGCTGGCAGAAATATCTTGTGTATGTGATTGTTTTGGTGCTGATGGGTTGAATAAAGTTAAGTGTCTAACAGAAGGGCTTTTTTATATGCTGCATCCCCTCTTTTCCTAGCCTCGTATCCGTTTGTTCACCTTATCTAATTTCTTTTGATTAGAAATTAATTAGCGAACTGCAAGAAAATTAATGTTCAACTATTTTGGTTAATGCTTCAACACTTTTCAACATTTCACAGACTAAAAGATTCTAAAAAAATTATCAGCAGAATTATTTGCAAATTAATCAATGACAAAAAATAACTGTTGGTTTGCAACATCACATTGTGGTAAAGCTTTACTGTCCCAACTTCACAAGACTGGCTTTTAATTCATGTATCTTAATTCCACCCAAGTTTGCATTTTATCTGCTTTTATTTTTCTGTCCTTAAATTTGTTACTTTGCATTTGTTTCAATATAATCTGCACTGTTTTAACTATATATGCATTTAATGTGTTAAGCACTTTGAATTGCCTTTGTGTATGAAAATGTGCTATATAAATAAACCTGACTTGCCTATTGCAAGCCATAAAATACTGAAAAAATATTACCTAAACTGAAAAACCTAGCTTTTCTCAGATTGATCAATAGTAAACCTACCATCTGCCAGTCCTTTTCCACCTTTCTGAAGACTGACTCCTTGCTCCACACACACTGATCCCAGCCCTGAATGACCTCAGAGCTGTTGGACACTCGACAGTACTGGTCTTTGGTGACACTATATTGCACATGCAGCAATTTGTCACTCTTCTCTTTCTCAGTAGGAGTAAACACATATTCTGCAGCCTAAAAAAACATACACAGAGTCAAATACTGACTTGAATTAGATGTTAAGCAGTGCACCTCTGCTACATCAAACTATCAGAATGTTAAAGGTGACTTACTACTGATATAGTGACATCCTGCCTGTTTGATGCTGTTGTGAGTACATATTTGTTGTAATAATTTTGGTATTATGTTCCGTTTTTGTTGGAATTCTCTTACCTAGTTACATCAGTTAGACTAAAGATGAGAAAAACCGCTCTGTAGAATGCAATACAATTCAACACCACAAATTTCAGTTTCCATAATGACCATAACATCTGAACAAAACTTGAACATGATGACTCTCATGGACGTAGAATTCATAGTAGAAATGTTTGAATCCACTGCACTGGTTTTATATAAGTGGACCTAATGACCTGGCAAATGAGTAGGGCTGCCCCCTGAAAGTCAACTAGTCAAATCATTAGTCGAGAGACCTCTCAGTTGACTGAGGCTCTTCTAGTCAAACCTTTGTTTGTTTTATATTTTATTTGTGCCAGTACTGTGCATTACAATAGAAGCTAGCCCCAGCTCCCATTAGTCTGTCATCTTCTGCTCCTCATTTTGGCATGCCAAGCAGCAATTTTTTCAATACTTCCCCCTTTGGTCGGGCTGGAATTTGTCCAATGTACGGATACATGAGGTCCGATGATACTATTTAGCAAACTGCTGCTCAGAACGCAGAGAAAAGGACAAAATCCACTAGAACACACATAAAGAGGTTAGAAGGGTTTTTAGAAGGGCATCAAATGTGCACAAAAGCATGTGTTCTGGTTAAGTGACAAGAGAAATTTGTTGGTAAACTAGGCTATAACCATGTCTCAGAAGAAAAAAAAAATTGCCTATAAGAGAATTGTTTCAACAAAAGTACAAGTTTGTTGCCTGTCTTATTATTGTGACAAATCCATATGACAGCCCGACATTAGATATTATCAAAATAAATAACAATATTAAAAAAATAATATAAATTTTAATCTTGCAACATATGCAGCTGTCTTTATTGTTCAAAATTATGTTCCTGTCACTCTTTTGCATTTGAATAGAAATGATAATGTGGTCAGAATCATCAGTGAAATTCATGCCAGTTGATTTTCTGATTCAACCCACACTTAACATCTTTAAAACCCACTTTTATCATGTTGCTTTTAACCTTCTCCCATCCACCCTCATTCTTGTTCGCATTTTATTGTCTACATCTAGTTTGTCCTGTTAAATCTAAACATTGTTGTTTTTCATCTTACTGTTGATGTCTGTTGTCATCATTCAGTTCCTTGAAAAGGGCACTATAAACAACATACATTAGTATTATTAGTAGTAGTAATAATAGTAGCAGTAGTTTTAATTGATGATTAGATCTGAAGTGTACAACGGCCTGGGTCAGCTCATATAGAATGCAATTTAGGGGGAACAGAGTTGATACATACAAATCATGGCTTTCATTCATTTAAAGAAAAGCAGCTGTTCATTCTATTTCATTTTGTAGCTGTGGCCAGTGCCACTAATAATTAGTTTGCCTTTATTTTCTCTTCCAAATTAGTTTCACTAACCTGGAAACTGTTTACAGCTTGTCTGATTGTTTGACCACTTATGTCGTTTGTCCCATTTAAGCTATTTTTTATTGATGTTCTAAAATCTCAGTTAGTTACAAGTTACAAGTACAATTTTATCATAACCAAAAGGGTCATTGTCCAGCTCCTCAAAAATAATAGCCACGGTAAGTACAGCATGTTTAATTTTTCTTTAAAGATTGTGAAAATTAGAATCTGATGGAAAACTTCATTATCTGTCATGTGACCAATCAAAAATATTGTCTGAATCCTAATGTTGATCTGAGACCAAGTATTACATTTTTTTTAATGGCATGTTCATATTGCCCATGGGAAGAGGTCTACTGAAATCTCTTTTAAATGAAATACAATATAATGAAATGTATAGTTGCAGTAGATACTAGATACATAGAGCTAATTCTAATGTACTGTACCTGTGCTAAATCAGTCAGGCCGGTCTCCCCTCTGGCTATCCTCCATGCCAGAGAGCCAGAGCTGCGTCCACCCAGCTGTCCTGGTTTTGGGTTCTTGGGGGAGATAAACTCCACCAGCTCGACCAGCAACCGCTCTGTCAGCTCTTTCTTCCTGTCTGGACTCAGGGACTGCTGCCTCTTCAGTATCAGAGTAGACATTAGGATAAGGATAATCACCTTTATTGGCCAAGTATGTTACACACAAGACCCGATGGTTAGAGCCATCTGTGGCGCCACCTCAACCGATGGCTCTAACCATCGGGGGCGGGCGGGGGGGTCTGTGTCCTGCCCAACACTTCAACGGGCGGACTGCAGGCACCGAGATTCGAACCTTCAACCTTCTGGTTGGGAGATGACTGCTCTACCCACCACACCACTGTCGCCTCTGACAAAAAGGTGGCTTGCATCAGAGTAACCACTGTAATTACTCTTATATACAGGGTTAGATGGGTTAAGACTTACTGAGGCATTGAGCCGATTAATGGTGTGAAGAAGCCATGCCTCTTGAACAGCAGTCCTTCTCGACAAAACCTCTGGATGGTTGCAGGAGTACCTCCACGTCACATCCACCACCTGCACCAAAATAGGGTTACATCAATACACAATTTTGTAGTTGTTATTAAAGATGGTGACTCTAAATTGCTGTAGGTATGACTATGAGTGGAAATGGTTTGTCAGCCTTGTGACAGATTTGGCCACCTGTCCAGGGTGTATCCCATTTCACTGACCTGGTCTTTAGAGAAGGCCAGAACATAGGCCAGTTTCTTTCCCCAGCCAACCTCATACAGTAGAGGCTTATCACAGACATTCTCACACGAGTCACAGTGCAGCCAGCGATGCTGAGAGACAGAGTAAATCTCTGTCCACACATGGTCTGAAACAACACAGAAAAAAGACTTAACACTGACTCTGGCGTAGACTTCCAAACTACAGAAACAGTGCTGATGTCTACCACATATGGACCTAAAAGCTTTTGAAAGCCAGTTCTGAACTTGTGTTGACATGTTGCGATGTGGAGAAATGCGATGGTATGTCAAACATGTGTGAAGCAACAAAGGTAAGGAAAGAGAAGTAAAATTGAATGTAGACACTAAAAGGTTTGAGCACGTTTTAAATCTTGTGCTCAGAGCCCAAAATTATTAAATAATACCAAAATTCTTCACTGAAACTTATTGATTCACTCAAACACCACAGCCCTGAAGCTGCAAATCCCAGTCCTCACACAGTCAAACTCATCTAACTCCTGGTCAGCAAATTCTGTGATGTTGACAGATGTGACTACATTTTTCTAATACATGAAATTACTCATACATATATACAGTAATTAAATTTATGGTATTTATTCTCATGCAGAGAATGATATTAGCGATGCATCTGTCAGTCATGTACATACCTGTGCTGTCCCAGATATACCTGGCCTCAAGTCCAAGGGCTCTGCAGCACAGGGTGAAACAGTTAGCCCACTCTCCACAGCGCCCCTTCCTGGTTTCCAGCAGCTTTTCGGGATTGTTGTACCTGGTATTAAGAATATAGAAAAAAAAAAACATGCATACAAGATGTAGATGAACTCAAGAAATCCATTCTATTATGCGTTTTGTAGTCAAATTCATTCAGACTCTTTGTGCCCGTTTTCAGGAAAAAATAAGTAAATTCTTATCACTGTAAAAGTGAATAATACAAAATAAAAAAGTTTGATTTTACAATGAAATGTACAAGAAAAAACACACATACAGACACAAACCTTGGGAACCTGGTGGAGTGTTTGCAGCCCTGACAGTAGTGGTTCTCCACTCGCTGAGCTCCCCAGCGAAGGTCATCAGTGCTGGGACTGAGGGAGCCAGCGTTCTGGGTCGGACCTCCACAACGGCTGCAGGGACAACAGTCCACCCAGGAGAAGAAGTCCTGTTTGAACCACTGGAGTAACTCCAGCACCAGGAAGTCTTCTATTCCAAGTTTACATTCTACAACCAGGAATACAAGTCACTTAGTTCTTCTGAATTGCTGTGTAAAAAGAGCATGCAACATTTCTGCTTGTTTGCATACAGTATGATACAGATGTACAGGACAAGTGATTCACTTGAACAAGTGAAGGGACTTCACCTGGGTCAGCCTCTTTAGCCCCCTTCAGCTTGTGCTGAGCGGTAGAAGACATCTGCTGGTGAGGGATGTGGGTCTTGGCTTTCTGCTGCAGCTCAGGATTTTCATAGAGCATCACGTGTTGGAAGTTAGACTGGAGAGTCACAAAGAAGCTCATACTGCTCTCCTGACAGAAACACAGGAAAAGAGTCAGGTCGTTAACTAACCGAAAATAATGAAACAATACCAAAAGTAGGGCTGTCAAGAGTATCGATACTCAGATAAGTATCGATTCTGGAATTTCTGAACGGTACCAATTCCAATTTCCCGAAGTATCGATACTACCGGTACTCGCGCTCTCAGTTTCACTTTCACTTCTCTCCAAAGGTGCGTTCACAAACTCCGCACGTAACCACAGTGTCTGTTTCGTCTCATTTCCCTCTGTAAAGTGAAGCGAGGAAGATGTCGAGTGTGGTGCCCCCGCGACCGTCTTTAGTTGATAAGCAACACAGCAGGAGTGGTATTTGGAATTATTTTGCATACGAAGCAAATGACGACGGAAAGCAGAAGAACACGAGCAAGTTACTATGCAAAAGTTGCTGACAAATTAGCAAAGCATCTGAAAGACAGACACCTGGATCTATACAAAGAATTTCGAGAGGTTGGTAACTGTTTTCATTTTAACATTACGGAATCAATAACCAAGATGGCCTGTTGTTGCTGATATGAGTGTTGTCTCGTGAGTTGTCACAAACGCAGCGCACCAGGTGA